TGCTCCAGCCATAGGAGATACCATGGGTATAAGATCACAGCAGCAACAAAAGAACAAAAAAAAACCCCATTTCTATTATGTTGGGAAGGTCTGTTAAACCCTAAAGAATCTATTTAGTAGCAAATCAAATCAAAACAGCAGGGGATTAGTCCTACATATTTTCAGGAGATGACAACATCTGAAAAGAGGAGGGTAGAAGGCCACTTCAGTTCCTGCTGCATTATCCTAAATATCGTCTTTGTTTTAATGTATACTCCTCATATGCTGTATTTATATACATATGCATATATGTGTATAAATTTATATAATCCATACACATTCATGGACACATTTAAGATCACCAAGCCCTTGCTACTGCATTGGCACACAGGCACATTTGCCGACTTACAGCTTTTCCATCTCTTCTATCTGTACGTGGTGGAATAGAGACACATGAGAGATAGGAAGAGAGAAGCTGACTGCGCACAAGCTGTAAATTAGGAGCCAGTCAAAACCCATACACAGGACTAGCTCGCTCTATAGCTTTACCTAAAGCCTAGCATGCCTGCCTTTGTTTTCCAGTTGTGAAATAGTAATGCCCACCAACCTGTGTCATGGAGAATACTGTGAGATTCAGTGGCCATAGTTGTACAGTATTTTGCAGAAACAAAGAAAGATGTAGGAGACCTCTATGAATCATGACAAAAATAATACTTTCAAAGGGAAAACATCCTCAGGCAGCTGTGCTGAATTTTTATATAAATTTGTCCATAGAGAAAAAGAAATTCTTTCTTAAAGCTTACATTACTAAGCCCATGGTAGTTAAGAATTCCCTTACCACCTGAAAAATTTACGTTAAGGAAATAAAAGAACTTCAAAATACTGCCAGATATTTTTCCATGCAAAAGCAGCCGTTCCCAGTATTCAAGCTGTAATTACTCCCACAGAGCACGTGTCCAGCTCTGTGCCTCATCCTCCTTGCCCAAGGGCCTGCCGAGGGCTCCCAGGGTGCCCTTCGCACCGGCGGATCAGGGGCTCCTGCTCCACACAGGAGCAGAGGGACTTGCCCAGGTCAAGTGCCCCTGTTTCCCCAGCATGGAGCAGTGCACATCAAAATGCAATCCTGAACCTTCAAAACAAACAAACAAACCAAAAAGAAAACAGTACAAACCTTGGAAGGAAATGTGTCTTAAATTTGGTCTGGAACATCCTGGCTAAAATAACCAGTAGAAGTACTAATAAAACACTGGTAGCAGTAAATGCCACTATTTTCCACGTAGTCAGGAGGGTCTCCTGCGTATTTGGCCAGGTTTGCTCTGCAACAGAATGGTAATACAAGAGCAGTGTTTGATTATTACTGTTGTCATTTGGTATTAATTCTTCAGCAATATTTAGAAGTGACAGTTGGGACGCAGGATCTCGTAATATATGTGGTATGAGCACACACAGATCCAGCCCCAGATGCTAAAAGACAAGCAACACTACTCACAAACTGCCACGAGGGGCTGGACCTTACTTTTTCACCATTGTTTTTTTCAGACTTGCAATCATGAATTTGTTGTATTCACATACACACAAATACCCAGATATATCAAAATACCAAAAATACCCATTCGAACAGCTAACTATTGAAATGGTTTAGGATCAGCTAAAATATACTACATCTAATGGCATCTTAAAAACGAAGTGTACGTCGTTATTAACCAACAAATTTACTCCAAAACCGAGGCGCTACGGGGGGAACGGAAGCAAAGGCAGGAGTGCCCCGTCACCTGTTTTGACACAGTACACTTGGTAGGAGGGGAACCACTCTCCGTACTGGCACGTGATGTATTTGTAGTCGTTGGTGAGCGTGTAGCCGGGGTCGCAGTAAAACTCCACCACGGTGCCGTGGTTGTAGCGCTCGCAGGGCCGCGGGTGGCAGATGTAGTCTCCATGGGTCACCATCGGAGGCAGGGGGCACACTTGGGCACACAGAGAAGCAGAAAAGGAGAGAAAGTGTTAGCAAACTGGGTTAAAGAGTTAGCGAAAGGCTGGACGAGCTAAAGAGAGGACTGAGGGAGGCATCTCTAGGAAACAGCAGTGGGTAAAGCTGTTCAAAAGCATTATTTTTATAAAAGAGAAAACTCTTTTCCTACATAAATACTAGCTGATCGCTATTTTGTTACATGCTCCTACTGCACACGGGGGAAAAAAAAACAAACCCACAGTACAATCACTTCTAAGTGGTTACATACTGGCCTGAAAAGGGCTTAAGTTAGTGACATGGGTTATTTTATTTCCCTTCTGAGCAACTGACTGGATCGGTGCCCCATCTACAGGCTATTCCCATCACTTCTTGCCTCCCACATGCAGCGAGGACCTACTGCATTGATTTAAATAATGAAAATGCCACTTCTCTGAGGAAGAGCCTTCTCAGGAATTACGACTCAGCTGCTTTTCTCTGTGAAGCTTGCTACATGAATAATGCATTTCATAAAAAAAAACTGCACAACAAGACATTAAATGAATCCTCAAGAGCGGCTGATTACAATGTGCAGCAGTGACTGCTCCCCATCCCCTGGAGACATGGGTTTGTTTGCATTTTCCCTGGCAAGGCTTAATAATAACTTGAAATCACAGAAAGTAATTCACAGAAAAATTCACATCCTCAATAGTCTGCATACTTTCCAGTGTCTCTAGACTCAGAAGAAAGAAAAATATTTTGGGGGGAAGTCAACTCAAGACTGAAAACAATTCTTCTTAAGAACAGGGCAAAGAACAGCAGCAAAGATGCCTTTTGTCCATATCAGAGAGAATTTCTCTCTTAAAAAGAAAAAACAAATACTGGAAGCAACAGTTCTGTCCTATTGCCAGGAAACCTATATTTTTATTATCTACATGAATAGCAAGCAAGCAAAGGGAGGCAGCCATCTAAATGCACTTTCCTCTCACCTGATTTGGGCAAGCTGCGGCAGGCTGCAGCAGTCGGGCAGATGCACAGCCCCTTGGCAGCACCAAGACGAGCACGGCACAACTTGTGCGGGCACCGGCCGCTCAGACGGCCCGTTTCTCATGGGCAGCATTGCCGCCTGCCGTCCCTCCTGCCACACAAACACCTGGCCTGTCAATGCTGTCAAGGGCAAAAAAAGAAGCTATCTCCTCAATGAAAAGCAGCCTCAGGGCTGGTCTCCCAGCAATGTGGATCAGCTCTGGAATGACACATCCCCAGTCAGATTAGAAAAATGTAACCCAGGTACGGGCCTGGCAGCATATTTACCACTGGGAGATGCATTTTATAAAACCTGAAAACAAGAACATTAGTCATAGTGCAGGATACGGCCTTCACGCTAGAAGCAGGTGCCACCTCTTCCACTAACACCCTCCCTATCTAAAGGGCAATGATAGTGTGTTAGTTCTGTGTGGAAGCTTTTGTTAAGTACTGCTTTAAAGCGCTGTAGGGCATTAGTCAGAAATTAGAAGTATTAATGAAATGGAGAAGTTAAAATGCCTTTTTTTTTATTATGCCCATAATGAAGAGCAGATGCTATGGATCAGGTTTAAGATGGAGGGAGCTGAGCTCAGTTGGGATTGTGCTCCATTCTGCTGTCAGAACCAGGGGTTTCCCCTCACCTGGGGTATCTCCCCACTGCCTCTGAATTATATGTTAATCCTGTTTAAGGAATTCCCCTTTACATGGGAAAACTGGCAGTTGGGTCACTTTGCAAGCACAGGGATTAACAGTCACTAAGCCCTCATTTCAGAGTTTTCTTTTCCTAATCAAATCAGATAAGTTGGAGCCTGTTTGGAGCACCATGCGACCTGCTCCATTTCCACCACCAGCCTGGCCCAGTAGCCTTTGAAGTCAACAGGAGGAGAGCCATTAAGTTTGGATCCCAGAGAAGCGAGATGATTAACAGAAGGCTAGAGGGCTGCAGAGCACTCCTACCTCCCCAAAGACAGGAGGTTTTTAGTGCACAGACAGTCATCTTACAGGTCAGATCCCTTTAGCTGATATTCACCTAACGTTCAATGGCCATTCAACTTCTCTGCAGCTCTCCAGACTGTGTGTGTCTGCTGCCCATCAAGAATGTTAGATACCCTCCCAGACACTAGTTATAAAGATTAAAGGAACATGCCATATCAAATGTGGCCTAAAACTCAGCTAGCAAACCTGAGACCATTGAAGTTCATCCAGGGAAGTCAGAGCTCAAGCCTCCACAGTGATTAGCCCTTACTGCAGTTAGAAATTACAGAGCATGGACCTCAGGCAAATGCATCAAACTCCAAGAATGAAAATAACCAGAAACAACTTAAAATGAAAGTGTCTCTGACAAGTGCATTTTTACTGTCAAAGCCCACTGCAATATGAGCAATACGCAAACATAGGGAAAAATGAATTCTACCTCAGAAATTTCTTACAGCGTAAAGAAATGTAGGTGCTGTTCCTAAACAGGACACTATATCTTTAGTGCCAACAGGTTTCATTTACTTGATAAAGCTTCTCAGACTTTAATACGCCAATGACAGCATCCACACAGGTAATCTGATAGTATTTTCTAAGAGCTAACATTAGAGGAGCCCACATATGTATCCTCAACTCTGCAGCCTGTCAGAGGGAGGGACATTGATTCATGTAGTGTCTGCTAGGGATTTTGCAGCATGTGACCCCAGATCTCAGAATCAGCCTTTATAGAGCAATTGGCCACTGACTGTAAAGGATTTATTTTTACTGTGGGGGACTTGCAGGCACTTTATAGCACAGCATTTTCAGTGCAAAAACTGAGTCTTTAATCAAAAAGAAAGAACAAGTGTGTTCATACAGCAAACAGATCCCTCTCGGGATGCCTAACACTATGGTTACTCAAAGAAGCTGAAGGGAAGAATTGTTGATTTGATGCGAGGTCCTTTTCCTCCTGCTCCTAGCAGCATTTGCAGCTAAGGACTCTCCTGTGAGTTAAGCTGTGGCCCTTCCTCTCTGCCTGGTTTTCATGAAAAGAATAGTGCCTGCAGGAAGAGCAGAGGACCCATGTCAGGCTATAGGAGATATCTTAGGAGATGGCTATAGGAGACAGCTTAGAAGACGGTTATAGAGGATTCGAATAACAAAAGATGAGTATGTCCTCCCACAGCCAGGGCCACCCTTCCCCACGCTGCCCTGAGGTGCCCTGAGCTTTGCTTTGGGCGCTGCGGCTGCCACAGCCCAGGGCCACATCAGCCTTGGCCAAGGCGGCTATCAAGGCTCTTTCAGCAACCTCATCACACAAATGTTGGTGCATGTCTGTAGGTCATTTGCAAATTACTAATTAAACACAGCATTTATCTTGTCTAAGAATGGCAAGGGAAGTGGTAGAGGGAAAAGGATGGCAATAGAAAAGCAGGCAGAATGTATCTTTTCTTCCAAATTCACCTCCTAACAGAATTAGTTTTCTTTTGGGGGAGACACACAGGAGTCCTCAGTCTTCAGACTACTCTTATCCTTGGCTAGTTTTATGTTCCTGCTACCAGTTGCCGTACACGCTGCTAAGATGGACGGACCCAACTGGAGTGCATGGGATGTTCCTGGCTCCCATATGTGATAATGGGGACAGGGTACCCAGTAAAAGTTCCCTGGGGCTCCCTAGCACAAGTTCTCACATGAATATCAATATACTAATGATGCATTTCTATAACAAATGCTGCCAACATTGTGAATGGAGCAAGTACAGATTGCAGCTGCACTAGAATAAGCCAGAAAAACCTTGCACCCACTGAATTTGTGTTTGAAAAGTGAGCTTTGAGAAATTTTCCTCACTATTCCCACAACAAAATAGTAACACCAGAATCAAGGTAACAGTGGAAACAACTAAGTGTCAACTGCTACATGAAGTAACTACTATTAAGCCTGATAGCAGACATGACTTGGAGACACAGGATGATTATTTTGAACTCTGAAGTTGGCAGCAAATGTTATTGGTTTTATTCATTAAAAGTCTACAGCAAGAATTATTCAAAATCCTCAATTTCTGGCCAGTAACTTCTAAGTTCTTTTCAATCTCTAATTACTTAACCTTCACAATGCCATCTACACTTTTTTTCTTCTGAAAAACAAACAAACAAAAAAACACCTAATAGTTAAGCAACTTCTTCTAGACCATTTATCAATGGCAGCTTGAAATATAACCTGGTCTCCTGACTCCATGCTGTTTCCTCTCCCCCAGGACAAACTTGTCCTAATTTTGTATCGGTTGCAATAGCACCATAAACCCTTCCGACATTCACAGCAAGAAGCACTTTTCACCTTCCAGAGAGTGTGAAACGAATTCAATAATTAAGTTTTTATGAAAAATCTCCTTCTTTCCTAGTTCTGACAAACGCCAACTTGCTGCAAATTGCTATCACTCACACCAGCTGCATGAGCCTAAGTGAGACATTATAGAACGAATTCCAAGCCCATTTTAATAAATAGCTTGCCATTAGCTAATTCCTAAAGGGAAACAGAAGATGATTTACAGTAATTTATCCTACACAAAGTTTCCTTGCTCACAGGGGTACAGAGTGGGTTTTGCAGTTCCCCCCAGGTGAATTCCCACAGACATCTCAGACTCATCCTCAGAGTCACCTGCCATGAAACTGCCCTCAGCAGCACGACAACCTGTGCAACATTGCTCCTCATGCCCAGATCTGCAGTTTCAAATGCAGATCTCTACAATATGCACACAGCAAAGCATACTCTGAGTGATCTTTCTCTCTTAAATTATAAGTTAAAAAATAAAGCTGTTATTTAAACTGCAGAACTGGATTATGAGCTTGCAGCAATGGAGAGCCAGGTGCTGTGGAGCATGGCAATCTCCATTAGGGCCAACCATTTCAGATGGCTTCATCACTCTGTCCTAGGTTGGTGTCCTCCGTTTCTCACGAATTACTGACTTTATAATCAGTGATGGTCCCTCAAAGACTTTGAGAACTAGACACCAGCACTCGGCTTAATTTCTGAGAACCAAGATGGGTGTGAGTCTGGAGCCAGCTCCTTGCAAGAGGTGCCAGACTCAGGAAAAGCTGTGTCCTACGGCTTGGCTGAAGGCTGAAGAAATCAAACTATAGCACTTGGGAGAAGGAAAAACACAAGGAGTCATTCCCAACGGACTGAGACCAGGAGGAAAAAAAAAAATAGAGAAAACAGCAGCTGATCTTAGCACCATAATGCCACAAAAAACAACCTACAAGATTATGGAGTCCCACAAGAGCACTGATTTTTAGCCTAATTAGAAGGCGCTTGACTACACTGCTTGGTGAAACAGCCACATTTGAAACTTTGATTCCTATGACTGAAAATTAAAAACTATATATGTCTCAAGGAGACTTTCTGATGCACCGACTCCGTAGCTACAGTATCCCCCATTTGTGTAAGAGGTTCTCTGACTACAGTAAGTAAAGTCAATGGACACGTCCATGAGGCAGAGAGATATTTCTCTTTCACCATTAGAAAACGTACTGTGCTTTTCCCTCCAGAGGAGCTGTGCCAGATAAAATAAAAGATTAATATTGTAGAGCAGGCCTTGGGAGGAAATTTTGTCTGCTCCCCCCATCTAATCCTCAGCATGCTTTGAACTCTGCGGATAAAATTCTACCTGCATCTGGAAGCTGACATGAAAGTCTAGGGCAGAAGTTCTGGCTCCATAAAAGAGTTCAGCTGATTTTGGAAATGCTAAGGACTTTCTGAAAGGTTCACAGGCAACAGAGTAGGTGTAAGATGACGATTTACGCCGACAGTCCTGTGCATCAAGCAGAAACAGATCATTTACTTGTTGCTGCTCTGTTGCATTTCTTGGTAAACTATGAACAAGCGCATCTATTTGAATCACAGCAAAGATCAAAGAAGATTTCTGCAATGCAAAAAGGGAATATTCACTCAGAAAAATAAGAATATTTATTTTCTTCAAACAGCAACTTCTAATTGGAGACTGTTCTTCAAACCCTTCAACCTCTTACAAGCAGAGCTGTAAAATGACCACTGTTGTATATCGCTCTGTCTCAAAATCTTTTCTTGTTTTCTTTCCATTTCACCTCACAATATATCTGCTGGAAATAGGAGATATTGGGATAAGTTAGTTCATCAGCCTTCTAAGACTCTTGGTCACCCCAGGGTAAAAGACTAGGAGCCTACTTCATCTTTTGGCCATGAAGATAAAGGTGTCACCAAGGTAAAGGTCTGCCAACATGCAGGTGTTCACAGCTATTCCTGGCTGCAGCTACTTTAGGATTTACTGCTGGCTGTCATTTCCAGGGCATATGGCTCTAGGCAGCGAGAACAGCCTGAAAATCCACTCACGTCAGCAATTAAAACCAAGGCTATTGATCAGTCTTACGTTAACATTAACTCGAGTTAACTTGGATGACCTGATTGCTGTCTTGTGGTATTTCATTTGCTCTGTCTCCTGCACGCATACTGAGCAGCTATAAGCACAGAGCAGAATCAAGGCATATACCTCACTTCATTTCTTCGTACTATAGCATTTCACAACTTGCTTTTATTGCTGCCCTCTGGTCCCTCTGCAGAATTTTTATTTGCTGGAGATCTGACCCACCAACATTATGCTACCCAGGGGCACGCATCAGTTTGTGACATTGAAATTTATCTGAGGCCTTCTCAATGCCAACAAAAATACAGGGAGAGAGAAATCCATTTGCACTAACGCACAATATCCCAGACTTAGGATTGCTCACTTCTCAGAATAAAGAGAGAATAAAGACTTCTGGATGTAAACTGATAGCAGACGGATTTTGTCTTTTGTTCTCAGTGTGTTGCTATATTGGAATATCATCAAGAAATTTCAGCAAGAATTTAAAATACTTCAGGGGTGTGGTTTATCAGATTTAGAGCTCAGTTTAGCAAATTTTATATAGTGATGGAGATCTAGAATAACCCTGCAACTGGTTAGAAAGTTCAAATTGCTACATTTTGAAATAATGAAGTGGATATGGCGTTTTAGCTGTAGTGCTACTCTGCTCCCTAGTGCTTTTACTTTCCAGGTTCCATGCCATAAATTATCAGACCTTCTTTTTCAGCATCTGCCTTCAGGTTTATAATAACCATTTTAAACCTCTACCAGGTATTCATGCCTACCTCTCCAGAATTTACTTGTATTTGTAGCATACTTTACATACAGTAAAATACAGTACATCCAGTTTTTATATCTCACATGAGAATCTTTCTCAATTTAAAAGTTTTTTTTTTCATTTTTTGCACATCTGATTTTACAGAAGGTACTACTAACTTGCAATATCTTCTATGGATGGCTCATTAACCCTAAATTGTTATTCTAACAATAACATTAATAAATGAACTGACATTTTCCTTAGAATTTTCTTGGATACATTTAAAAAGTTTCAGTATAAAAGGAAGTTCAAAAAAATCTGCATGACATTAATAAAAGGATCTTAAGAAAGTAGAACATGCAAATCAAGGAATTAAAGGAAAAGAATGTTCAATGTTAAGGTGCACCGATATATGATGGATATATGATGGAGGAAACCAACCGCCTGGCTTTGCAGTGCTGGCTGAAACCTGTCTGCGCTGCGGTGAATCCTGATTTTAACCATTTCTGATTTTAATTATCAGAAAAATCTTCTTTCCTGAGGGCAAAGAGCAGCTGCAGCAGATGAGCTCTGGGCCCACTGACCAGCACCTTGACCTGGGGCTAGCAGCTGGTGGCCTCTTATTGAAAAGTTAAAATAGGCAGTAATTCTTGAACCATATGTTAAGGTACCGCAATAAATAAATAAATAAATAAAAAGACATTTTAACACAAGTAAGACAGATGAGAAACCTAGTCCTCCTCCCATTAAAGTTAATGAATTTTCCCAGGTATTTTGCTAGGAGC